GAAAGCACTGTTTTCTCATGGACACCCGCCCTTTATCCAAACATTTGCATCAGAGTTTGAAAACACTTGAATCCCTAAATAAAATGAAAGTGGAGATTCATAACTAAATCAGTGTAACGAAACTAAATGGGAAGTCCTATGGAAAGGGGCAGCATTTATATAAAATCTCTGGAGTTGATTTTGCCCACTCAAATTGGAATACACTCACTCACCAAGATGTAGATGACCAGGATATAACACCAGGTCAGTTTGTGATTGTCAATGATGTGCTAGCTTTTGGACAGATCCTTTGCCTCAGAATTTTCTTTGCTTGAGCATCTATAAATCATATGCAAAATTGTTGCCCATCGTCTGTTTTTCTGTGTTTGGAATATACAGATCTTAATGGCCATAGTCTATCTGCTCATAGGGTAACAAGAAAATCAGTGGCCTCTGTAGCATGCTGTAACCTTATCTTCTTGCTGTCAGAATGCATGGTCTTTGCCTGAGGAGTCACCTGGGCTGTGGCACACAGACCTTCTGGCCTGGCAGGAAACAACTGTTGCTCTGATCAATACAGGCCATTCTTTCACCATTTTTCTGCTGTTTCTCTGGTGCTTACACACACACATTCATACGTGATTCACGTCAGTCTTGATATTTTCTGTTTGAAGTCTCAAATTATCTATGAGCTCAAAGTATGGAAAAGAGGTGGCCTGGACAGCAGAAACTGGGAAATGTTTTCGTCATGCTGGAATGATGCTCTGTCCTCTGTTTAGGTTTCTTCATGGAACCCACTGTATTCACAGATGTTGAAGACCATATGTATATTGCCCAGGAGGAGTCCTTTGGTCCTGTGATGGTGATCTCTAAATTTAAAAATGGGTATGCTTTCCTCTGGTTACTGTTAGAAACTTTCTCATTTTCATCCTAAGTGTAGAAATGATAGCATACGTAGTACAATTTTGTTAAACCTTGTTAACACCAGCCTGGGTCCTTAGATCAGCTTCCAGCTAAATTCTGAGGAAATACCCTCTGTAGTAGGGGGTATCCTGCTCCACATCAATACAGAAATAAGGCTGTTAGCAGTGCATGACAGGATAGAATGCAATTGTAACTGCCAGTTCTTAAATAAGCCTTAGTATTCAGTGAAACCTTTTTACTGACACTGATGTGGTAATTGCAGCAGCTTGATCAAAGTAAAATGTGTATTTTTTACAGTGGAATCACTTATTTTTCTCTGTCACAAAAGACTACGTTAGCATTGTTGTGCATTGTGTAACATTGGCACATTACCATTACAAATGAAAATCCCTCTGTATACTTTGTAGGCTGGCAGTTTCAATAGCTTTCATTCCAAATCATAGGAATTGTTTTACACACAAGATGAGATTAAAACCCTATATAGAAACTTCATGTAACTACTTCCACCAGGTTTAATTTTCTATAGTTTGATAATGCAGTTAAGAACCAGCCACATAGATAACCCATTACATCCATAAATTATGCAGGGAGATGAGACACAAACAGAAAATAGCACCCTGAACACGGCCTGGAAAGTTGTGGCTTGATGGAAGTCCAAGTTTCAGCATTTATTCTCCATTAAGTTATAACACAGGACAAAATTTTAGCAAACTGATTCATAAACTGATTCAAAGCCAAGGTCAGCTTCCCAAAGTGGTTTTGTATTGCTCTAATCCCTAAACAGTACTATAGCTGAGCAAAGTTGGTATGTGTACTACAACTTTCACATTTCTTAGTGACATTTCTGAACCAGTGACACGTAAGGTTGCGAGCTTTACAAGTTTGAAGCAAGCGTATGAGTTTCTGTAGATCTGTCATATTAACACATTGATTAGTCCTTAATTAGTTGACTTTAGAAAAGATAACTGGAGAAGACTGAGCATGAGAAAAGCTTCAATGACACTGAAGGTGGGAGGCTGCTAACACTTATTTTGCCTAGTTGCAATTCAGTCATTTCTTTCCCTCATAGGGACGTCGATGGAGTGCTGCGACGGGCAAATAGCACAGAATATGGCTTAGCTTCAGGAGTTTTCACAAAAGACATAAGCAAAGCTCTCTACATCAGTGAAAAGCTAGAAGCTGGAACAGTTTTTATTAACACATACAACAAAACTGATGTGGCAGCCCCATTTGGTGGATTTAAGCAGTCTGGCTTTGGGAAAGATTTAGGTAAGTTGTTCTCTCCCTCCTTCATCTCTTATCTGACCTTACCTGTGTAGAGTCCACCTAATAAAATGTGAGCGACAGACACATTTCCTGCATCTCCTACATTCCTCCAACCACAGTAATCCTCTCCCATCCCTACAATATTCTGCCTCAGTGCCTCTTGTTCAGCCCTCCCTGTACATCTGTCCAATAATGCTACAGCACACAGAATATTCCTCTCCAACTTCTCTCAGAGCATTCACATTACAGCTTGTCCAGAGCTGCGTACAGGTTACAAAATGCTGCCAAGCAGCAAAGGTATTGGCCAAAATCTTTCCTTTTCCTCAGAATGAATGCTATTTCAGCTTTCTCTTCTGAATTTCTAAATCCATGGGAAACTTCTATGCCTTAAAATGTTATCAAAATTTGCCAATAGCCCTGAAGAAAGATGCATTTAAAAAAATCTTTTCAACACCAGCTTTAAAGCAAGTGAAGTTTCGTCTTTCAATGAAACTTTACAAGTCTGGACAGATCAGGCCTCATAGCAAAGAAAAAGCAACAAAAAAAATGTTCAGTGACTCAACAGATTTTTGCCTTTAGAATCTCTAGCAAGTATCACATTTTCTGAAACCAAAATGAGTAACAGTATCAGGAAAAGAAAGACTACCAATTTCTACAAGCTTCTCTACCCAGAAACTGTAACATAGGCAAACCAAAGTTCATAAATTCAACTATGAGCCCCCAGTGACTATCTAGAGACCACAGCTGCTTCAGTTCCACCCAGGTGGCTGCTTGTTAAATTCCAGCTCCTTGTTTTTTCCATATGTGTTGGATTTGGCCTCTTTTTGTCAAACCAGTTCTGTAGATCTCAGTGGAGGGTAAGTCAATGAGTTTCCATTGTTCCATAAGGACTTTTATACTGGCTAAAGAATTTTATTCTTTTTCTTAATAATGTTACAGTGACTGACAACATTCTCTCCTTTAGCTGCTATGCTAACTGGTGAATATTGTGCTTTTATAGGTGAAGAAGCTCTTAATGAATATCTCAGAACCAAGGCCATCACTGTGGAATATTAAAGTAACAGCTTCACCTGGAAAGTAAATGTTCAGCAGTCTGAATCTTAAAGAAGCACTTAATATCATGCCTAGGATAGGCCTTCTGCAGTGCTGTAACTAAAAAACAAAGTAAACCCCATTCCATGGATAAGTTCCTATAGATCAAGCCCAAATTTTAGTCTCGCTGATAAAGCATTTGAAAACGAACCTGAAGTTATTTAAATTATGCAGCAGCAGTTGTTAGTGCAATTCCCCCCCCCCCCAAAATATCAAGTACACGGTTTAGTTTATTTTTTAAAGTCCAACTGAAGAATGAATTCTTACATGCCTACTTCTTATTTGTGTGAACATATTTACACAATCATTTAAATCCTTACTTATCAGGTTTCTTTTGAACTAAAATACACTGATTATGCCATTTCTGTGATAATGAGTTTAAGTTTTACAGTAGCAGCTGAACATTCTGCTCTGGGATTCTTCAGCAGTACAGAAAACCTTCGTGCCACAAGACGTAAATCAATGCAAGGAAGTGCACTTACTCTGATCTTTGTATAGTAAATACAGAGTTCAACATTGGTGTTAAACTATGCATATCAAGCTCAAGTTACTGAAAATATTTTCTATCTTCTTGTTGATACAGAATGTGTGATTCTGCCTGTAATTTGAAAGGTGGTTACATTAACAGATTAAAATCACTTTGTTCACATGGACTCTTACCACTGATTCTTACAGCATGATTATTACTTTGTACTTCACAATTTTTGTGGGGTCATTTGTTTTTTTTTTCTGTCTACAAATTCTCTTGTAAAATGACTGAGTTAAGATGTTGGCTTTCAAGCTTCTTCAGTTTGAAGGAAATTTTCCATAGAGACCTCACCTAGCAAACTAAGCATACTAAGACCACTTGCCCTTCTAGGAGTGCAACTTCACTCAAAGCTTACCCTGACCTGTGGGCTTGCCATTTAAAGTAGCAGTCCCATTCTCTGATTCCCATCCTTTCTTCACTTACAACATTTTGTGATTTAATCAGTTAATCCTAGTAAATCAAGCCCCTTTTCTATTTTTAAGTCACATTGTGAAAGAAAGACCAGAATCCTTGTTATTTCTTATCACAAATAATACAGAAACAGATATTAAAACTATAGCTTTAAGTATGGGATTCAAAGTAAATTCTCTAAATAACTGCAGTTTTCATGTCATGACATCAACATTTGAGGAAATACAATATAGAAAACTTTAACGGTGTAGAGGATAAAAAGTTCCTTTAAGAAACAAACAATGACATTCAGGAGCACAATAGATACTTCTGAAATGCAAACTATTTTATGTTGTAAATAAAACAGCCCAAATAACTATTTGATCAATCAGAGGTAAGTATAAATGAGACATACTTTCACTGATTCTAGTTTTCACAACTGTTTCAAGCTAACCTAAGTATAGGCCATCTGAAAATTTAGCTTTTTGTTCTTCTGGCAGTGACAATTGTTAATAAAATTGAGAGGACACGAAAGTGGGATACAAAAAACATAGCTTAAAGCAATTGTAATACCACAGCAGCAGACTTGACCGTTTAAGTACTGAGGGTATCTGCACTACATCCACAAATGTTCCAGACATGAGCTAGTAGCCTACCTATAATGACAGGGCCTTCAGTGCAGGCAGAAAGCGTAAGTAATCCTTTGCTGACCTCTCTTTAGAGCCATGGCTGTCCTTACCCATGCCAGCTCATCTTGAAATACTCACCTGTTGCTTCAGTATTAACAGTCACTGCCGTGAACGCAATGTAAACATACCTCTATCGCACTTCAAGAAACTGTTTAATATTGAAGCATTGTCCACAACACTTCACGGGACATAGGATATAAAAACCAAAGCTTTTTTCTTAGTTAACTCTTCCCTGCCCTTGAAGCAAAAACCTCTTCCAGCACACTACAAAAATCTTCCTTCAACAACCTTTCTTCAACAAAGCAACAGAATAATTTTAACTAGTTCTAAGTGCCGCAAATGTTCGCTGCTTTCTTAGTCTAATCTGCTATGAAATGAACTTCCATGTTGCTCAATGAATAAAAACATACTTAATTCTTTAGAAATCCAGCCTGTCTCAGTCATGAGTGGATCCTAAATTGTCCACCATGTAAACTATAGCATTTCACATGATCCTGAGGGATGCTACATCAGGAAACAAGGTGTTTTTTAAGGGCCAAATCTTTAAAGTAAGAAACATGATTTGGGGTTTTCGGTGAGTTTGATTTGGTTAATTTATTTTAATTTTTTTTTAGTAAAATAAAATAGATTTACTCGTTCACTTTGCTGTCCAGAATTTCTATTTTGCCTTTTTCTCCCTTCTTTTTAGGAAACTTAATGTTGTCTATTGTCACTTCGCCAGCTATAAAGTCATCTTCAGATTCAGAGTCATCTTCTGAAGTTAATATCTCTTCATCTGTATCAGAATCGCTCAGTTCAACTACAGCCACATTCTGAGGAAAAAGACCTTAGTTAGCACATTACACATTTCTGCTGGCTTCAATCATTTGAGTAAAACATAAAGCAAACACATAAAAGAGACTATTACCGTAAGAAAACCACAACCACAATTAGACTGACTTCTGAGTTCTCGTAGGATTATGGCAAATATCATTAACAGATTCCTAAATATTTAAAATATAATTTATATTGCTCTTCAGCAAATACAAGGCCATTTCTTCAGCATATACCAGCACTGGGCAACCTACTGCATGTAGGCTGGATGCAACCTACAGGAACTCTGAATCCAACCAGTGCCCAACAAATTGTTCTGACAGCTCACACCCCAGACTCCAAGCTGCCTGTTTCCACCTTTTTAACTTGTGGGTATGCAGGCCTGAAGGCATGTCTGGGACATGCCCATATCACATCACCTTCATACTAAGATTTTCTTACATGAGCTTGTGGCTGTAAAACTTCAGTTAAAAACAGAAAGAAAATATTGATGTAAGTAAATAAGAGAAATACCAGCCATAAAGGATCACAGCACTAACAGCTTTTCTAAACACAAGATCTACGAGTCCTAAAACCACCTACAAAGCACAGCTGAAAGCCAGTTATTACTCTTATAATAAAGCCTTCTGATATGCCTTAATACTCCTTCTTATCCAGTTTCTAAAATCACACACAAGACATATAGAATAAATTTGTGACATAATTTTGATTCAGAATTGTTGATCCAAATGTTGTCCTATTCTCACCTTAAACTACTTCATCCCCAGTCATTAAATTCTGCAAGTGTGAAAACCAAGTAAATTTAAACCAAAATAAGCTGTATCTATGTTTTGAATTTGCAAATCGTGGACTAAAATAGTAAAGACTTGGCCTTATCTATCAAATCAGCTCATTCTAAGATCAGATAATTATTTTAATCACATGAAATTTTATGAAATAAAATTATTTACCATTTCTATAACTTTTTCTGTTGCACTGTCTAGATTTTCAATATCAAACTGATGAGCTGGTGCTGTAACCATTTTTCTTCTTAGCTCATCATTTGCATGGGCCATCTGTGGCAAAAAGCTCTGTACTCGGTCCAAAACTGAAAAAGAAGTAATTATCACATGTATATAAACAAACATGCACATAAGTTTATACAGTTATACCTCAGGAATATAAGCATTTAAACAGATTCCATTTCAACTGCAATTTCTAGCTGCCTACCATATTAAAGATGTTTAAATTACATTAATTTAAACAGTATTCAATTTCCCAAGACAAACAGCAAAAAATTAATGGTGTGACCAGCAGGATCAGGGAAGTAATCATGTGCTCATCCCCCTGTACTTACGGCTACTCCTTGGCATCCTCATTGTCTGTAAGGTTGTGGCCTCCTTGTTGCTGCATTTTGATCTGATCAACAAAGTTTCTTCCAGCCCTGGAAACAAATAAGTGAATGTTCACCTTCATCAATCACAAATATCACATTTTAACTGTGAGGGTCACTACTGCTCTGCAGGTTCAACACAGAATTAGACAAATTCAAGGCAGCAGAGTTATAATGAGGCACTGCAAGGCCTAAGCAGGAATATACCCCCTAGCATCCCCCCCCTTTAGGTGCAGACACAGGGCGGTTACAAGAACAGGGAGTACACAGTGCGTGAACTAACAAGTTTAACAAGGCCAGGCTGAATGGGGCTGTGAGCAACCTGGTCTAGTGGAAGGTGCCCCTGCCCACGGCAGGTGGGGTTAGAACTGAATGACCTTTAAGGTCCCTTCCAACCCAAATCATTTGGAGATTCTATTAAGTCCTCTGCAACTATCATCTGCTACTGCACTTAGAAGAAAGAATACTGAGCTATGCAGACCACTGGCCTGACCCTGCAGGTCACTTCATTGGGCTTCAACCGTTTTTGAAGTCTTTGTCAAGATTTATTTAGTGACAGTTACCAATGCACAGATAAACTACCTGTGATACCCCACAGCAAACACAGTGAGGTAGCATCTAACATGTGCTACTTCACTCATTTAAACCCCTTCCCTTACGTCCGTGACTGCGGTGGCCGCCAATGAAATGAGGCCAGAACAGTGGTGCTGATGACCCAAATTAACCGTTTCCGAGAGTAGCGCCGTAAAGGCCAAACTATGTAGGGGAAACGCTGCATTAGACAAGTTCTTACACCGTCTAACTGAGCCATTGGCCCATTATCGTTAAATAAAGCGAAGGTTTACTTCCTTGTAACACTTCTTTATCCTCACAGAAATGCTGTTACTACTGCGCGTATCCACTTAACGTGGCTTTCCGCTGTATTCACATCTACCGCAGCAGCACTGCCTGGGAAAGGGGCGCTCCTTCAAAACACGCTGCATAAGGGAGCGAGCACCGGCACCCCGCCCGCCTCCTCGGGCTGCCCGCCGCTGGGCGAGGCCCGATGCTCCCCGCAGGCCGAGCCGACACCTCGATCCCCGGCTCAACCCTCCCCGACCGGTGTGTGTAGGGCTGGGGCGACTGAGCCCCGCAGCGCCGGTCCCGGCCGAGAGGTCGGCGGGGGGGGGGGGGCGGCACTCAGCGTGGAGAGCGGCGCTGCCCCTTCCGGCCCGGCCCGGCCCGGCCGCGCTCCCGCCGCCGCGGAACCCTCTCACCTCCTCGGAGCCCCACGGCCAGCAGCTCCCGGGAGGCAGCCGCGCCGCCATCCCCCGCCATGCCCCGACACAACCGGAAACGGAGCCGGGCCGGGGGCTCGCCCCGCAGCGCCCTCTGGAGGCCGGGAGGAGCAAAGTCGCCCCAAAGCCGCGGCGAGGGTTTAGCCGCATGGGGCTCGACGGCGTTACCGCCGCTCCTTACCGTGTTCGGTAACCGGCACAGATACCTGCAGTCATGTAAATACGGGGTTAATAATGCGGAAATGAAAACAATTATTGGTACAAAGACAAAAAAAGAGGGTTTTAAAATCTTTACGGAACGATTTGGCATGAAAACTCCATCTCATCGCCCGGAGGAGAAATGAAACCAACCCTCAAGCAGGTAGCACTGCCTGAATGGCTGCCAGCTGCTGCTCCTCTTTGAAAACCTTCCCGTTTTCACTGTCACAATTTGACAAACGCACCTAAAATTAAACGTCCGGCCCTGAGGGACTTTCAATTATCTCTTGGAAAGCAGCTTGCACAACCGCCAAGTTCAGCTGACACTGGCCACCCTGTTGCTCAGGATTTGCTCTCCAGTTTCTGCCCCTGTCTGTTTATAATGTGAAACTGCGAAAAGAGAACTGAATGCTTGATGTGAGACAAGATGGGAAGTCCAAGCCAAAACAGAGAAAAAGTAGTAACCAGGGGGGTGGTGTTTATATGCCCTCATTGCAGAACACAAGGGAAGAAACCAAAAATCAGATCCCAGTATCTTAGAATTAACAAATACAAGGTTAGACATTAGGAAGAAATTCTTCACGGTAAGGTTGGTGAGACACTGGAACAGGCTGCCCCATCCCAAGCCCAGAGCAGCTGTGGTTGCACCATCCCTGGCAGCGTTCAAAGCCAGGTTGGACAGGGCTTGGAGCAACCTGGTCTAGTGGAAGGTGTCCCTGCCCATGGCAGGGGGTTGGAACTGAATGAGCGTTAAGGTCCCTTCCAACCCAACCCATACTGTGACTCTGGGAGTACAGAGGAAACCTTCTGCAGGGCCTCAAGCAAGAGCCTACCCTGCTGCTTTCCCACCAGCCTGTCTCAAAACAGTGTCCTCTGTCACTTTCCCTTGGGATCACCTTCCTTTGGGATGTACCAGGTCCATTCCACCAAATTTTCAACCCAGTTTGCACCTTTCTACCCAATGGTGCTCCAGGATTTCAATTTTTCTGAAAACCTCCTGTTGCTAGCTATGCTGCCTGAAAGATCTCAAGGACTTTTGGCCACAAAAGTAACTCTTGCTGAATCTGCACACAGCCCAGAGTAACAGCGTGTGAACCTTAAACAATCTATTTCACCCATGGATATTATGTGATTTCGGTAGAAGGTGTGACATAACACCATCTAGGAACCTGTAATGGGGACTGATGAAATGATTGCCCAAGATCACCGACAAGGAATTGGAAAAGCCAGAAATAGCGCCCTCAGGTGCTGTTCCCAAACCTCAGCTGCACAGTCCAACCTGCCGGCAGCACCAGTGGTTATGATCTTTATCTGTTTTACAGGGTGGCCCAACTACATATCCACACGTGAGCACACCTGAAGCATGGATATGTGTGGCTACTACCAGGGCAGGGGACAACAGCATCCATAGCCCAAATTCCCAACAAATGCAGACTTGAGGCAGCATCTACCACTGAACTAATAGTGCAAAGATTTGGGCTCCTTCATTTATTCAGTGCCATATTGACCCAAGAGTTCAAGATGATGCTGTGTATTTCGTTACAGTAGTGCAGATTGTTTTGGCCCCAGTCACAGAATCTGAGAGATCTCCTCAGAGAGAAGGAGGAAGAGAACAGTGATTTCTTGATGGTGACAGCAGCCAAGTCTACAGCATCTTTTTTCCTTTCTATAGACAAAACAAAAGGTAGCTTGGGCAAATCACCAAGTGTTGGCCTACCATGGAGCTAGATGCTGTGGGTATGTGTGGAAAAGCAGAGATTTAAGCACAGGTAAAAAACCATTAGAAGATGTGCAAGAAGATGCCCCATTCCTAGCATTTTTCAAGGCCGGGTTTGACAGGGATTTGAGCAACCTGGTGTAGTGGAAGGTGTCCCTGACCATGGAACTACATGATCTTTAATGTCCCTTCCAACGCAAACCGTTCTGTGATACGATTCTAAATAATGCTAGTAATGATAATAAATGCACAAGTTTAGCCAGCTTCACTGTTTTAATGCATTGATATAAAGCGTGTCTCAAGACAAAGAGTTTTTGAGGACTGGTTAAAAGCACTCAGCAAGGCCTTGCCTCTGTATTTAGTTCAATGCAGGCAGTTGATGTCTACAGAGTCACTCGCAGACTTACGCTAAAGCACTTGGTGTTGGGCACAGCGCACGCAGCCTAGCTGGGCAAGAGCGAGAGAACATTCAACTGACCCAAATACTGAGATCAGCCGGATTCCTCGGGAAGCTATTTTTAGCCAGCTGGCAGGAGAATGCCCTAGTGCTGACATTCTGGAGCGAGCACAAACCAGCAACTCCAGCGCTAGGTCGCCACGAGAGCTTCTCCGACTGGAAGCGAAGCCGCCCGGTGGCGGCGGCGGCGGCTGCTGCGCATCACGGGCCACATCATCGCGGGGGCCGCCCGCCCTCCAGCCCCTTCCGCGCCTGCTCAGTGGCGGCGGCGCTCACCTAGCTCCGGAGCTGTCACCGCCGCCGGGCTGCTCCCTCCCCACCGCAGCGATGGAGCGGGACCCGGGGCCGCCGCCATCGCCCTCGCCCAGGTGAGAGCAAGGCGCGGCCTGACGGGGGCGGCGGCGGAGGTGGAAGGGGAGAGGGGCTGGGGTGGGCTGGCGACCTGCCGCCCCGGGGCGAGGGAGGCGGCGGTGATGGGGAACGGCGGGCGGGAAAGTTTCCTCCGGAGCGGCGGAGCTGCCAGGCGCCGCCCTGCAGGCGCTGCCCCGGCTCCGGTGCTCGAGGGGACCGACCGCCGCGGTGCGCGGTGCGGCTCACCCCGTCCCGCCCCGGGCCCTGAGGAGCCCTCGCAGCCTCTCTCTTGCCACCCGTACCGCGCCGGTACCCTGCCCTCCGCGGACCCCCGCAGCTCTTTTCAGCATCATGCGCTGCTCCAGGTAGCCTGGACAATGAGCCTTTTCTTCGGCTTCGCTGTGTCTGCGCAGGATCTGTCCCGCGTTTCCAGTGGCACTGATTCCCTGGCCTCTGTACGTCCGTATGTGCTCGCATTGCTCTTCCCACCTGGCATCTAAAACCAGGCCAGAATCTGTCACCGCAGATGCGCCTGCGAGACAAGCGTGGAACTTGTACGCAAATAGCACACATGCAGACTAACACCGTCATCTATTCTTGTTTACAAGCATTTTTTGTTTACAAGCATTGTAACTGACATGCAGTGGTACACTGATGCTCTTTTCATGCTTTTCTGCCAAAACTAGGAGCTTCTCGTGATTTACCTTTCTTTCTACTTTGTAATTAATTCTCAATTAAGTTGAGGTTGAGGCTGTGTCTCTTTAATTTCAGTGAAATTAAATTAATTTAATTTCAATTTAATTTCAGTGAAAACAATAATTTCCTCCCCACCCACCGCACTGTCCAGGATGTGGTTGTGTGTCTTGTTCGTTCACATTTGGTCCTAGATTACAGAGCACACTGCATTAGCCAGGCTCTAATAAGCAGAATGCATAAAATTAAGTAGTTGTTCAGTCATAGTGTCAGGAACAAAACATAAATACAGGAAAAAAGTCAGTTCATGAATCTTTTCTGGGTAGAGTCCTAGCAGGATTTAATAGATAACTGACATCCTGAGCTGTCCTCACTTTACTGGTTCAGTAATGCTGGTCGAAAAATGAGAGCAGGTGGGAGGACCTGTTTTGGCAGCATTCCCTGCATACACTGCCTTAAAGAGGTTGTGAAACCAGAACCATAAATACTACAGTATGACTGGTAGACACTTCAGAAGTAGAAATAACAGTGTATCATTTTCTTTTCAAATCCCTCAGGATATTATCCACAGAAAACAATGGGAAGTCTGTATCCTAGTGCCTCAGTTAATAAGCAGTTCATCCCTCCTTGGTGATGACAGTGGAAACCCCTAATCAGGATCCCCAACAGTACAGTTAGGACTCATCCTGGTAAGTACGTCTTGCTTACTTAATCTAGAGGGCTGTATTACCTTATATTTCAAACCTTCCCACCTGCCTTTAATGGACTGGATGTGATTTGCCTGGTATTTTTCATGTTGGTATTCCACTTGAGTGATTTTACAACCTGACCACATTTCACAGCTTTGCTGCCTCATTTCTGGCTCTGCTTTGGCCTCTTCTAACTGAGTTGCCTTAAAAGTGCATAGGCAAACCAAATCTTTTTCCTCCAGCTGCTTTTGTCTTCCCTGGGGCCAAAATCGAAAGCTGTCATGCTCAGGAAGTAGAATGCAGCAGCCCCAACCTTGTCTGAAAACAGAGCCTGGGGCTGGCAGCTCTTTCAGCGTCTTATGTTCAAGAAGGCAACTAGAGGTTCTTTAATCTGTTGGGGTTTTCTTTCCCCTTACTATTTTACCTTTGTTTCTTTTGCTATTGATATGACCCACAACTGCCATACTCTAAACACAATGTTAACCAGTTTACTGCATAGTATTTAAGCAGTGGTATGTAATGCCCATATATCTGCCTTGCATGCCACATTTATCGAATTTCAGCATGTTTTCCAGTCTTTAATACTCAACATTAAGTACCTGGTATAAATAATCTTAGCTCGGGGTGCCACCTTGGGTTGCAGATGCTATAAAATGGTTAATTATAAAACAGTCTGTTTATGATTCTGAGGTGGTATGATGCATCTTTCACTTTTGACTGATAGGTCCACTACAGCAATGTAAATATTAGCCACAACTGAGATAAGGATGTCAGTGTGATACCGGGAATTGTATGTATACAACACACAGTAGTGGGAAGAAGCGTGCAGATCCCTGTATCACCCATGTAAATTTTAAAAGAAGCCCCCACCCAAACCTCACTTTTCAAACTTTACAGAACCTCAGAAGTGTTGAGATCAGAAGGGGTCTCAGGAAACTGTCTATTCAGCCACCTCTACTCAGTGTAGGATGAAGCAGAGCAGGTTGCCGAAGG